CTCAGACTCCTTGCTATCTCCCTGAAATACTTCCTACCTCAGCCTGCCTCAAGGTCTTTTTCTCCAGCTGCTTCCTAGGCTTACTCCTCCACAGACTCTTTAACTCTTCCTAGACGCTAAAGAGTTTCTTTCTGCTCTTGAACTGAGTAACACCTCCCAGGGCTTTCTCCCTGGAAATTCAGCCCCTATCTGCCTCTCCCCAGGCTCTCCATGTCTCTTTCCTCCAGAACCCAACCTTGAGCTGCATCCCTGTGGTTTTACCCTGTTATCAGGGGTGCTCAATCCACTCCTGTGCTCAATCAATCAGCAAGTCAATCCACTCCTGCGGCTTCCCAGTGTCTCTCCAAGGCCTTTGCCAACACTCCCTTTGTGAGAGAAGATCCTCCCCTGGCATACTATTCCCCTGAGCCTCCTAACAAGGCTCTGCAATTTTCTGTTTAACAAGAAAAAGTAACACCCTCTAGGCCCTTGCTAAAAATACAAATGTACCTTATTTCCAAAGGTTATTTCCTTCATAGCACTGTATTTTTGTCACTTTAGACTGCCAACGTCCTTGCACATTTTAACAATTTTCAGAGGCTGTATCTGCAACAAAGATTAACTTCAGTGAAATAATGTAAATGCCCATTTATTGTATAAGCTATTTCACCACTGGTTCTATTTGTACAGTCCATACTGTATTCACAATTTTTTGTAAACTTCGTCATTCTACTTCCCAGACCTTTGTGAACTTTCCACAATATGACTGTTGGTTTCCCTTACTCACTATTGGTAGTGAGCATGGCCATCCCAACACCCTTGCAGGCAGTTGATAGGGCAGACATCCCAAAGATATTTTGTTGATGTTTTCTTAGGTATGTGGTCTAAAATTTCACTACCTGCCCATCTTTACTGTACCACTGCAGTCTAACCACTAACACTAGGTGTCAGTATAGGGCCATGCACAGCAATTATATCAAGTGTGACAATGCAGTAATTAGGCAAATGTTTTTAAAATTGTTTTTCTTTTCCCTTTTAATGCCTGTGCACCATTTTCTTATTGTTCTCCTGCCATCCCCGGTCTTCTTTATTTTCAGTATTCAGTACTGATGCAAAGTGGCACCCATTGTGTTTTTCTATGTCAGATATGTTGTCAGAGGCAAAAGCCAAGTTGCCAGTGATCAGACTTTCCTTTCACTTGAACTGTATTTTATTACATAAAACTTCCAGCAGTAAGGCATGAAAAGTAGAGGAGTTAAGTAGATACAAAGAATCCCACTGAAACATATTTCCTGAAAAAATATAGGAATACATTATTCTTTTTTGATTTGGTGTAATAATCTGTTATCTTTTGTCATGCATGTTAAAATGATTTTATGCATGAGTGGAAAGGCTAGATGATTTATTAGGGGAGCTCCATTCATCTTGCAGAGTAGGCTTTGGTTTGAAATTGACATGTTTTTTAAAGAAATACAATATTTCAGATCACAGTTGTGAAAATATCTTCCAGGTTGCAGCTTTATTAATGGTACTCTTTTAAGAAAACAACTACAAAAGACCACTTAGTGCTGCTTTATTCACATACTACATAAAAGATTACACTAATGAATGATTCAACCAGGATCATTTTCTGTAGCTCCTGTTCCAGCCTTTGTATTGATTTCCATTATTCAACTGTAATTATGGTACAGAGCATTATAAAACAGGATTTGATTTTGAAACATTGCCTGGAACTGTCTACCCTTCAAAGTTTGAAAAAGTGAGAGTCAATTTAATTACATCAAGCTGTCATCAAACTTTTTTGTAGATATTTTTGTAGAATTTTTAAACTCATTAAAATATGACTATATTGTGACACCTATGGTTCTGCTCTAATTAACTCCCTTTGCAGTAATGATAAATCACCATTCAATGCAGTGGTGAGGATATTTCTAAATTGTTAGCACTGAGTAATTTGAATTCTGCTGCCAACATACAGCCACACATATTAATGGAAAGCTGATTAATGATGCTTGCTCTGAATAGAAGTGGTGAGAGTAGTGGCGCAAACATCTGTGAGTTAATGAGATGGCCTATCTTATTTCATAAAAGTCTTACAATGCCAAAGTCAGAGGTTTTCTCAAGGAACTGGTTAAGCTGAAATAGTGTGTTCCTCTTAAAGAATAGGTCACTGTAAGATGCTAAAACTTAATCCAGCTGCTTTTCTTTTCCTTTTTTAATATTGGGTAGATTTCAGAACAACATGAGTATGAACTGGAAGCTAAAGTGGAAAGGTTGGGTAGTTATGACTCAACCAACATATACACTTAATTTGTCTCCGTGGGTGGCTGGAAATCCTCAGTCCTAACCCCCTACTGCTGTGAAATACAACAGTTGAACTGAGGAAAAGAAACTGCTTTTCATTATTCTATATATTGGGCATAGGATATCAAACCCATTTTTGCAAAAAACAAAAACAAAAACAAAAACTGCTTTTTCCCCCTCTCAGTGCATCTAAATTAATCCACAACGATTTCAACATTTTAAAAACGGCAAGTTTTGAAAAAAGGACATTTAAGCCAAAGGCAAAACACAAAAATTCTAGGGTTCTAGAGTATGAACTTTCTAGGATTCCAAAACCCACACTTGAGAGCTCGGAGAGTGAACAAAGTGGAATAACTGTAAATAACAATAATGGTAATGAATGTAGTGTCTAATCAAGTTTTATGAAATATGACTTTATATAACTTGAGTTCTTTTTCTAACTTTATGTTCAGATGTACAAAATGTTTAATTTATATTTATTCACTAAATTTTATGGGCACCCATTTAAAGCATCAACATGCCTTTCATCATTAAATATGATCAGTTCTAAAATAGAAGAATATAAGCCTTTATAACTCCACCTCATCTTATACACACACAGACCTCTTATCCCAACAATTAAATTGATCTACAAGACATTCAAAAGCCTTTCCAAGCACATACACCTGGAGCATGCCAAGTGTGAGTCCCGGCAGACTGCTGGAGGGAGCAGAGGAATGGGTCCTGTTCCACTGAGAATATTGTGCCACCAGCCCTAGAGAAGTCCGCCCGAACTTGCAACGATAGTGATCCAGTGGTTCCTAACTCCTGCAATGGGACAGAGTCAGAGATTAACTTTTATATAACTGGCAGTCAGGCAACTGGGGGTTTTAATAACCAGCATCTTGTATTGCAGTTGGACATGAAGAGGTGCCAAGAGTACACCACAGAACACTTGTGTTTTACACTTATAGTGAATTGCCCCAGTGAAGAGAAGAGTCACTACATTCTGCACGAGTGGAAGTTTTTAGATACTTTTCATGAGTAGTCTGCAAAGAGGGTGTTTTGGAGTCATCTGGCCTTGAGGATATAGAATCCTGGATCCAAGTGAGGTCAGCATCGGAAAAGTATGGTTGAAGTCCCTATACCAATGATACATTAAAAAAGAGACACTGTGCTACAAGCTGATTCATGAAGTTTCACTCTGACCTCAAGCTGAACTGACAAAGGCTGAATATACCCTGTAATAGAAGTGCATGCACCCCACTGCATGCAGGTATAAAGGGTGTAGCCGCTCCCAACCTCCTTCAGTTCCTTCTTATTGGATAGACTCCAGCTGAGAGGGGAAGGAGGGAGGGTCATGGAATGGACATGTGCAACACTCCTCGAAGAACAACAGTTACAGAAAGGTAGGTAACCATTTCTTCTTCCTCAATTGATTGCACATGTCCATGCCACTGTAGGTGACTCAGAAGCAGATTGATCTGGAGGTGAGTCCTTTGTCTATTTGAACAACATGCCCGAATCTGGCATCATCCCTCGACTGATGGGCTATAGTGTAAAGAGAAGCAAATGTGTGCACTGACAACCAAATGGGTGCTTCGCAAATATCCAGAATAGGAATTTGTGCCAGGAAAGCTGCAGATGCTGAATGTACACTACCTGAATGGTCTAGCACTCTAGCTGATGGAGTGCCATTACCCAACTGGTAACACAAACTAATACATGAAATCTAGGAGGTATACCAGGTGACCTTTCATTCTCTCTGCCTCCAGAACAAACAATTATGATGATGACCTAAATTATTTAGATGTCAGAAGAGGTTTAGCCTTTTATCTGAACCAGACTAAAGAGTGGAACTTTTCTTCATCTCTTTGAGCATGAGGTTTCATGAAGAAAGTCAGCAAATAGACTGCCTGATTAATATGAAAGTTGGAAACCACTTTTCTCATGAACTCTGGCTGAGGGCAAAGGTAAACCATATATGGAGCCTCTCTTACCAGAGTTCTCAACTCACCCATTCTCCTCACCTGGGTAATTGTGATAAAAAATCAGGGCTGCCCAGAGTGGGGGGCAAGTGGGGCAATTTGCTGCAGGGGCCCCCATGAGAATATAGTATCGCAACTTTTTTTAAATGGAAGGGGCCCCCGAAATTGCTTTGCCCCAGGCCCCCTGAATCCTCTGGGTGGCCCTGTAAAAAATGCCACCTTTGCAGAGAGGTGGAGTAAAGAACAAGTCATGAGTGGTTCAGAGAGTGGCCCCATTAACTTTGCTAATACCAGGTTGATATCCCACAGGAGTATAGGTTCTTGCACTTCTGAGTATATTCTATCCAGCCCCTTCAAAAACCTGATAGTGATGAGGTTGCAAAAAAGATCTGTTATTCACTGATGAATGGAAAACTGAGAGCGCTGCCAAATGAACCTGGATACAGCTCACTGCTATACCTTGATGTTTTCAGTACAGGAGATAGTCCAACATGTGAAGGATGGGTGCTGGATCCAGTGAGAGACAGTGGAGATCTGACTGACAGGCTAGGAGGGTTGAGATCCAGTGCTGCTGAGGCCATGCTGATGCTATAAGTATGAGGTGAACATGGTCTTGATTGATCTTGGATAAGACTCTGGGGAGCAACAAGATCAGAAGGAAAGCTTAGAGTAGGGTATTCCTCCAGGGAAGCAGGAATTCTTTTTTCAGTGAACCTGGGCTGACTTTCTGTTCATCCTTGTTGCAAACAGGTCCACTTGGAAAATCCCCCACAGTCGGAAGATTAATCTGGCCATATCAGAATGTAGTGACCATTCATGATGATTGGTGAAGGACCTGCTCAACTGATCTTCTGCATATTTTGTGCCCCTGAAAGGTAAGCAGCTCTGAGGTGAATGGAGTTGACTGTGCAGAACTCCCACAGGAGAATCGTCTCCTGGCACAACTGAGTGGAATACATTCTTCCTTGTCTGTTTACATAAAATATAGTTGCTGTGCTGTTTGTTAACACTAGCAGATTTTTTTTTTTACTCAATATGTGGAAGAAAGGCTGAACACACAATATGGACAGCTCTCAGTTCTCTGATATTTATATGAGCCTTCAGATCTTGGGAAGACCAAATATCCTGAGTCTGCAGTGACCTCATGAGTGCACCCCAACCAAGGGAAGGAGGGTGCATCTGTGACTAAAATGAACATTGGTTGCAGGGGAGTGAAGGGAACCCCCATACACTTTCAGAGGGTCTGTCCACCACTCAAGGGAGGACAAGACTAGCATTGGTACTAAAACCAGGTATCCGTGGGTCTGCTGTGCCTGGAAATTCTTCTGTTTTATTAATGGTGTATAGATTCCAAGCACTTGAGCATTTCCCTGGAATCCTTTAGGCTATGGTGACTATCAATTGTCTTGTCTGAAATAAGAGAAGCATCTTCAAATGGGAGTTCTTGGATGATCTGCTGGATCTTTGGAGATAAGCTGTGAACATCTTCTCATAGTTATGTCTTGAGCTGCTGACTCAGCTTCATCCAAGCTGTTCTGAAGAGCTGTTCTGGCCACTAGCTTGTCCTCCTCCCCCATCACAGTGAATTCCAGTCTGCAGTAGTCCAGTAATCTGTCCCTGAACTTCAATATGTTATTGCACAAAGGGAAGTCATAATGACCAACGAGTTCCTACTGATTTGCAATAAAAAAACACAGTCCCCATGTAGAACAAAGTTTTCTACCAAAAAGGTCCAGCTTCTTTGAGTCCTGTTGCCAATGCCTTTCCTGCTCATTAGCTGTGGTAACTGCTCCGGAGCCCAGAGGGGGATGTGTATATACGTGCTCAAATCCCTTAGGGGACACATAATATCTCCTCTCACCCTTTTTGCTGTGGTGGGGAGGGAAGATGGGGTCCCAGTACCATTTCCTGTACCAAAAGCTGAACCAGTCTGAGAGCTAAAAACTGAACCTTATAACTACTATTACCTTAACTATAGACTGTCTAAAACTCTACCTATGAGACTACTCTAAGTAAAACTGGGTATATTTTACAAGGAATGAGGAAAGACCTTGCAGTAACAAGGCTATAATTGCTCCAACAACTGTTCCAGGCAGTAAGAATGAACTGAGGGGGAGCAGCATGGGGTGGCTCCACCCTTTATATCGGCATACAATGGGACAAGGAAGCAGACTGCACTCAAACCATCCTGACTGGTACCTCGGAGAGAAAAAAATCTCTGACTACTATCCACTGGACATGCATTCACCTGCCGTGGAATGGACATGTGCAATCGATCAACAAAGAATCTGATATTCACTGGGAAGCCACGGCAGCGTGTGGAGCACTGTGCTGATGTGCTCACCTAGACAGGCGTTGCTTTCCAGGAAGACCACAATACTGTTTGAAACCTCTTCAGGGACATCACATTCATTCCAAGATACACATTAAGCCTGAAGATCACAGAAGTGTTAGTATCTGTGACCAGGTCAGAGTCTGTCAGGATGAGGTGCTGTCTTTTAGCTAGCCTTAAGTAGAAGGCATCATTTTTGACAGCTTTTGCCATGTGTATACAGTGAAGAGTTCAGAAGGACCCTAACTGCACCCTATCTTGAAAATTGAGGGAGTCTGTCCGTTAATCAAGGTTGATATCATAGTGTTTTCCTTTGCCTACCAACAGCACCTTTGTTCTCACTAAATTTAGCTCAGCCAGCTGTTCCTCGTCCTAGTATGAATCTCTCTCAGGCTCTCAGACAGCTGAAATGATACTATATTATTGTTTGAGAAGTAGATGTAGAGCTGAGTGCCATCATGTGTTGCTAGCATTTCACAGTCTCCCACAGCAGTTTCCCATAAATAACAAGAGGGAGGACAGAGCCTTGCAGATTTCCACATGTGAAAGCTTTAGTGATGTTTCTGTATTTCCACTCCACCATCTTGGAACTGATGGGCACCAGTTGTGGCTATACTCCTGATGACTAATAGATTGGCAAGATTTTTGGCATCTACCTCGTCTGGTCCCAGAGAAGTTTCTAATGCTGTAGCATTATTTAATTAATTATCTTTCAGTTTTTGCTATTACATTGATAACTAGAATGTATAATATAATTACAATAAAATAGGACTTCTTAAATTTCCCTGTATAAACACAATTTAATGAAAGAGCATTCTCTAGATGGCACACCAGTCTATTGAGATTTAGTGCCAGGGAAGTTTAGAATCATCACTAAGAATACTTTCTTCATCCACAGATGCAATACATTCAGAATTAACAGGAGCTGAATTACAATTCCTTCACATGCCATCTAAATTACTTCATCAGCTTAGGTTTGTCCTCTCCTGGCCCAGGATGAGGTCTGAACCCAAGCAGAGTAATCTTTAAACATAGCAGAGCCAAGAATTCCCCCCATGGTGTCAGATTCTCATAATACCCTAGATCTGAAACTGCCTTAAAGATGGGTTGCACTTATCTTGCTATGAAGGCTGATTTCTGTGAAGGAATCTTGGTGCTATGACAAACAGTATAATATATCTCTGCCAACTCCATGTTATTGAAACCTTTTACCTAGTTGTTAAATTGTATTGCCTGTGCAAGTGTATTGACTGAACCATGCCACTGACTTACACTGATTACCAAATGAAAACACTCCATGGAGTTGCTGCCTCTTTTATTAGAGAACGCTTTAAGTCACTGTGCATTCTTTGTTCAGCTTTGTTCTTCTCTTCAAATTATGCATGAAATGTAAAGCTGCTATGCAACCAGATATATTCTGCAAGACAGTGTCCTGCTTATAGCTATGTGCAACCCAGCAGGATGATGTAATGTTGTTGGACTGTCTCGTTTCACTAGAGTGAGACAGGCTGGAACTGCCCCAGCTTTCAAAGATTTTTGGCCCTTTGAAATGCACAGACAGGACAGACTCATTTGGAGACCAATTGCCAGTGCCTCAGTGTTGTCTGGAACAATTTGTTTCAGTTTGATGAGCAAAAATTAATAGCTCCCCAAATTCTAAGTGTAAACTAATGCCCCCAAACTATGATAGTCTATACTAGCTGAAGAAAATACTGGATAAGAGGCAGTGCACATCTTAAAGGACTTACCGGTACGCCGGAGTCCTGAGCAGGGGGCAGGGCCTCAACTGGAAGGGGCGTGGCCTCAACCGGAAGAGATGGTCCTTTAAATCCCAGGGCCCTTTAAATCACCGATGGAGCCCCGGGGGCTCCCAGCCACCTCTGCAGCTGGTATCTCCGGTGGTGATTTAAAGGGCCCGGGGCTCCGCTGTGGTAGCGGCGCCTGGAACCCCTGGCTCTTTAAATCACCGCCAGAACCCTGCCGCTGCTACCCCAGGGGCTCTGGCAGTGGGGCTTGGGCACCGATTTAAAGGGCCCCGGGCTCTGGCCGCTGCCGGGAGCCCCAGGCCCTTTAAATCGCTGGCCTAGGGAAGCTGGACCAGACCGCACCGGCTTACTTTCACCTCTGGCACTGCCTGAAGGGTGGACTAAGGTGAGGAAGCAATTGTGGCTCTGAAAGTGGAGGAAGTAATCTGCTACTGATCTTTACCAGTAACAGATTCCTTCCCCTTTGGTTCTGGCTCAGCACTCCCTGGTCCCACCCCGTAGCTGCCCACTCCAAATCCACTTCTGTGGGTCAGGGAGTAATGGCCCCACAGAGGCTGCTCTCCCTTTGTGCCTGTGCTATGACCTACAGTGAACCTTTTCCCCTCTTACTCCCCTCCAGGTGAATAGGCCAATCAACAACTTTGCCCTTAGACACCGAATATATGAAACCACTATCCACTTCTCATCTCCAAGGGGAACAAGGCATGTGGATGGGAATTCTATCAAATGGTATTTTCAGAGAAGCAGGTAAGTAACTATTCCTCTCAAAGATACCATATCAACTGGATTCAGATTGTTGGAGACTAAAACCTCAAGGGGAGATTCCACAAATCCACCGATTCGCCAGTCATGGAGGGAGACAAAGTTACTGCAGAAATCTGAAGTTTATGCTAAAAAGACTTTATACAAACAAATGATTAGGATCTTCAGGAAAAAACTATAAGAGCCACGGGCTGTGTTCCATTCTCTAGTACTGAGTGTTTCATTTCCAGGTGTCCAAAGCCAGCCTGCCAAATATCAGGAGACATAAGAGACTGAGAGAGGCCCTATCAGAGATTTGACAGGACTGAGGCACAACTTCAATAGCATATTCAGAAGAATTTGCCTTTCTGGCAAGACTAAAGGGAAGATTCCAGCTTTCTCTCTGGATCCCAACAATAATGTTCATAATAGTATATTGTGAGTGTATGTTAACTTTCTCAGTCTGTCTCTCGAAGAATGGAGGCAGGGGCTTGTGTCAGCAACAAATATGAACTGAATTTGCTGGAATAAGTACATTTTTAATAATCGAAAGAAAGGCTGTGTAGAACAGTTTGTGCCATTGTTTTGAAACTCAATAGCATCTTATCTATGTTTACATTTAGGGAGAATAATGGCTAGCTGTTAGTCAGCTGGAAAATCAGTCCATGAGCATAGCCTACTGGATTTTAGAGAAATTGCACTGGAAGTAATTGATTTTTAAAAGATTTTTGGTACATAGACACTGATATGAAGTGTTATTTTTTTCCCCTCTTGATTCATTTTTCATGTAATCCTAATATGAAATCAAAAATGAGCTGCCAAACTCCCAATTAGCAAGCCAGCTCCATCAATAATAACTTTATCTTTAAAAAAAACCCTTAAGTGTAGTTTAAATGAAATTTGCTTATTTTATTTCAATAAACAACAGCATGATTTGAGTAATGCATCTGTACCAAAGCACCTTCTGATGACCCTATGAGCTCAAAGGTCAACTCAATTGTTCTGTCACAGTGCCTATTAAAAATAAACTAAGAATGATAGAGTGATCTGCAGACAAAGATTCAGGATGGGAGCAGTAAAAGTGAGACCAATATAATCTAAATAAATTCATTATTAGAGGGAAATAGAAATTGTTAAAGGAATCCTCTTTTATGTGGCCTAGACTGTAACTAAATTCACTGTCTATGATACTTAAATACAAGCAGAGAGTATTATAGCGATTGATGTTAGTTCAAGGATCAGTTAGTTAGAGATCTGCCAGGATCAGACTTTGATTTAGGAAGACTCCCTTTCTTCTTCTGTGCGTGCTTTTTGGGATCCTTCAACTTTCAGCATTTCTTAGTTCATCCCTAGGGTGAAGCTTGCACTCAGGTAGAGCAAGCTTAAATATTAGCAGGGAAAGGAACTTCCTCTGCTTCTGAGATGCAGTTTGACCCATCTTGCCTTTGTGGTCACGGGTTCTTGTGTTACCCACTATTACCTCTCAGTAACTCCTTGTTTCTATCTAAACAAACACTCTTATCTGTAAGAGATTCCACTGTATCTTAACACTTCTGGTCATCTCTCAGGTGCATCTCAGCTACTGTTTAATAAATATATAGTGTACTGTGGTGCACACCATGTACCTTGGGAAGCACAGCCTCAGGCATGCAAATGAAAAGGCAATGGAGGCCGGGGAGATGAGGGCCTCACTGCACCAAACACTAAGAAAGTGCAGGCTGAGGGAGCCAGGCATATTAGGGAGAGGAGATATGCTTAAAAAGGGAGAACCATTACATGTAGGGGGTTATCCAAAGGCTTGAATAGCTCATCTAAACACCTAGATGTTTGGGGTGGTTAACTGAATTGAACTTGTTTACCATATGACATTTTGTACAGTTACTAATGCTTATGCCTAAGAGAGCTATAGTGAATTTTATTTCATTCACAGAGTACTTACTTGAACCTTAAAGTTGTTCATATACTTTTATAAGCATATGACCTTACTTTTATAAGTAAACTGTCTCTAGATGTTAAGGGACAGAATTATATACTAACCAAAGGACATTCACAGCTGTTATCAAATCTCTCAGATTGGATGGGATGCTGATAACATGCTGGTTGTCTCTGGCTTGTTTTAGTTTCCTTAGTTTCAATCTTGTCGCTGATCTCCAGCAGCTTCTCTGCTTGCAATTCTTATTTGACCTTTTTGTTGCAAAGTTATTGTGGAGGCTTTAAATAGTTCTTTATGAGATCTCAGTGGGCATTTCAATCTGAAATTCAGGAAGAGTTCTTGTTATAATCCTAAGAATCAGCATATACAAGCTGACCTGCAGCTTAGTGTTCATTTCAGTCCCAAATGTCTATTGTCTCTCACAGCAGGTATAGAAGAGCACAGTATATGGAAGAAAACTGTTTATTAAAACTGCTGTGAAACAAGAATTAGGGGTTTAGCATGAAACTTCAAATTCTTAAACCAAGATGTCCTTGCCATCATTTTAAACTTTTCAGCTAGTACTAATGCTGTAAAGATGAGGATTCTTTCTTTCAAACCTTTTGCATATCTCAAATAATATGATATATTTTAAATCTTTTATGCAATTGTTTCTAAATCCTTGCAATTTTGGTAACAGAGAAACATGAATGGATCCTGATTTTGCTTATGGAATAGGGATTGCAGTATTCTGTATATTGAAAATGCATTTGTGCTACAAGAGACTAAAGGTGAACTAAACATATCCCCAAATACCCACTAAGAATCCTGCTTTTGTTTTATTTTGCTCATAGTGGGCCAGATTCTGTCCCTCGTAGTCACATTGAGTAGTAATTTGCTGGGCTTGATTCTGAGATTTTTACTCATGTTGAGTAACACCTTACTCTGTCCTGATCAATGTGAACAAGCTTATTAGAATCTGGTCCATTGATTTCAGTGGGCCTACTCATAGAGAAAGGTATTACTCACTCTGAGTAAAGGTGGAGGAAGAATATGATCATAAACAACAATATCAAATATTAGTCAAAGAAAATGAAAAGACACAAGAAGACCCAGATATTGGTCTACATTTTCAATGGAGACTGCTAAAATTAGCATATATTGTGAGAGATTGTTCTTTTAACAGAAAGATTCTGAAAACCCATATTTCTGCACAGCAAGGTAGATGAGATCTGTTATACAAATAATTGTTGCTGTTGTCACTCTCACCGTGTTCCTACTTTATTTTTATTTTTAAATTGACACCTTTGCTTTTATGTTTCATTCCGTTTCATCTACAGCTCATAATTGCTTCCAATTTCACAGAAAGAGAGAAAGGAAAAAAAATTGTTGCTCATAACAAAAAGTTAAGCTACAGGGATTTGTACTTCTGTTTTGCTCAGTATCGCTTAGACAGAGGCTCAAAGAAATAAAACACAATTTGTATAGAAACATGTATTAGCTCAGTATCAGAATTGGATGCAGTAAATATGCTTTTCTTAAGGAGCCTTTAGTTCCAGCAGCAACAATATGAGGATTTCCTTTGCTTTAAAGACCTTCTGCTTTAAGTTTTTCTTTTAGAATTTCCCCCACATATTAACTTAGAAGAGTAAAAACCTTTATTTAATCACCTCTCCAAAGCAACGATTTGCAATGACACAGCGGTAGTGACCCAGGTGCATTGCCCATCAGCTGCGAAATCTCAAATGATTTCAGGCAGGATGATGTAATAGGTTGTATCAGCAATGGTCCTTTTTTCCCTGCTATCACACTTTAAATAGCATTGGGTTATCTAATGACAACCACACCCTTAATCTCCATTGTTTTAGCTGGTACAAATAGGTGTTCTATAACTTTATCAACCATTTCACTTTGTGTTCAAAGAACTCACAACACTCATCTCATAGTTAAGACACTCTGATCTATAACCTGGTGCCAAGAAGTTTGAAATTGAAATGCATGCTGCACCCCTCCCCACACATTGTCTTCCTTTCTCCAAATGAGATTGAGAGCACCACCTTTGTGACTTTCTCATTTCTAGCTCCAGACCTGAATTTCCTGAATGGCAGTGCATAATATTTTCCGATAGACTGACAGGACAGATTTTATATGGTCTTTAAAATCACTGTACTTTTCAGTTCATTTCTACAGTGATGACCAAAGGGCTCAAAACAGTCTTTGTATACTATAAATTAGCACAAGCTGTCCAAGTTTTGGTGCAGAAATGTATGACTAGCAGTACTGTTTAAACTGAAAGACATAAATCACTGGGGATGAGCTTATCAAAACAGGACCATGCGTTCTGCATTATTAACTAAGGGCTGTTTACTCTGATAAGTCAATAGGTAGAAAAAATTCTAAAAATATTTTGTAACATAAAAAGACTTGAACTGAAAATATATTCAAGCTTTAGCTTTCATATTGGTCAACCTTTTGTTTTCATCTCGCATACCAGCAGGGTGGTGGAAATCCCATTTCCCAGATAGCACAAGCTGGCTGAGAGAAATCATTTTCTTCATTTCATTTAATTTCTTGTGCAGAGTGGGCTAAGGATATAGCCTGGAGGCACCCTAGGGTTCAATGTACTAAGATGCCAAAGCACAAAATTGAACAGGAAATTCAGAATGAAAACAAATAGCCACAAAAAAACCTATGTGAAATGCAGAGACAGTAATTCAGGTATCTGGGAGTATTCAGTATTATCTTCTTTCTACCTGATAATAATGTACATGAAGAAAATATTTCAGCAGCATGAAGGTGGTGACAGTTACAACAATCAAAATAATTGAGGATAGTCAAAGGTTATGCTACCACTCACTCCTTGCTCTGTTCTATCTACAGATTCCCCTATACATTACATAAAATCTCCTACTGCTTGGAGATCTCGGCAATCATAGAATCATAAAAATGTGGGGATGGAAGGGACCTTGAGAGCTCTAGTCCAGTCCCCTATGCTAAGTCAGGACCAAGTATAACTAGATCATTCCTGGCAGGTGTTTGTCTAACCTGTTCTTTAAAACCTCCAGTGATGGGGATTCCACAGCATTCCTTGGGAGTCTATTCCAGTGCTTATAGTTTGAAAGTTTTTCCTAATATCAAACCTAAATCTCCCTTACTGCAGATTATTTCTTGTCCTACCTTCAGTGGACATGGAGAACAATTGATCACAGTCCTCTTTATAACAGCCTGTAAAATATTTGAAGATTGTTTTCAAGTCCCTCCTTTTCTCAAGACTAAACATACTCTTTTTTTAATCTTTCCTCATAGGTCAGGTTTTCTAAACCTTTTATCATTTTTGTTGCTCTCATCTCGACTCTCCAATTTTTCCACATCTTTCTTACAGTGTAGTGCCCAGAAACTGACATAGTACTCCAGCTGACACCACACCTTGGTGGGTGGAGGAGGTGGTAAAAAGGCATCTTACTCGCACTGCTGCCCAGGCACGCGCTCATCAGCTCCTCTCCACCAACTGCCCTGCTGGCCAATCACCACACCCCACTCCTCTCCACCAGTCACCCTGCTGGCCAATCGCAGGATGTCTTCAGGTTCCACCACTTAAAACAGCTCTCAGTGACTTCAGCTGTTAGTGGGGAGCCTCAGTGCTGTGCACACTAGGCAGTCTGTTGCATCAGAGACACTGTCCCAAAGCAGGTCCAACACTTAGGCCTATGTATCAGTGATTTCATCTCTGCAGTGTGTAACAAGACT